TGCTGAACCATCAAAGGGTAAGTAAAGAACAATTTGAATGGGACCAAATCAAGAATGGCCACAACCACACATTGGCAAAACTGAGTATGCAAGATATTACATGCACATTATGACAACATCAACGGATGTTAATGTTATGTGTGTTTACATTACTACTTTTCAGGAGGGTGTTCAAACTTCAAACATTGAAAACCGAAAAAAAAAATATAGAGAGGGCATGATGATTTTTACATGGGGTGATGATGAAACATTGAAAATACATAAACCCATAAAGAAAACACCATCCAAAACCCCTTCTTTTCACCAGCAGCAGCAGCAGCAGCAGCAGCATGTAGTAAACTCACACAATGGAGCAGTAAATAACATTATCACATTCTTTAGTCGGCATGCATATCCATTGAAGAGTCATTAGAACCTGGAGAGTTCGATCCCCTGTTCTGTTCATTATTGTTGCTGCCGCCTCTAGTTGAGCTATGAAAATGACTGCCCCCTTGCGGGATTTGGTAATTCTGCAGACTGCGACGAATAGGGCTTGAAAGGGCGTTTGAGAATACCGAGTTCTTTGATTGGTTTTCGCTTTGATCTGTTCTACCCACCGAAACGGCTGCCGGGCAAGACGTGCCTGAATTGTTAACTTGCATTGTTGGTTGAGATGGAGCTCTTGAGGACATTGACGCTTCCTCCATGCAGCAGTCTAGCTCGTTCTGCAACGGAAAAACCAGAAGCTCGATCAAGAAACGGGAAATGGGAAAATGAAGAAACAACGGTTCCATGTAGAGACGAGGAACTATACTAACTTGAATGTAATTGATTATATCCATAGTTGTCACTCGTGATCCGCCGTCTTGTTGTTTCCATATCCATTGGTACAGTTTTTCCTGAAACGTGGAGAATGAATGGGGGAAAATATTTTTGTAAGAATTTTTTCACATTTCCTACGTTTGTCATATGTTTCTATCTTCCCCAATATTTAGCTTCTGCAGAGCTCATTAGTTCATAAGACAAAGAATAAGCTATGACAAATATATGCATCTCAAAGGCATTTATTCATCACCCAACAACAAAATTTACACCACACCAGGGTTCATTGACCCAAGTGAGAAGTCCAGCAATTATCCACCTTTTGGATTTTACAAAAGAATCTTCTTTTACTACCAATTATCCACCTTTTACAACCAATAACCAGCTTCTTAAAGCAAGGAAGAAAGTTAATCAATGAGGTATATTGTTTGCAATCGCGGATGCGAAAAGATGCAATGACAAAGGTTTCCAAGGCAGTCTTTCTACAAGAGGAATAAGGTATCTAAAGGAAATTAACACAAAAGTGGTCAAATCAGTGGTTCCAGGGGAGAAAGTGACACAAAACTCAGAATTAAGATAAACCAGTTGAAAATTGATTTGAAAAAATACATGAAATGAAGAACAAAACAATGAGAACAAACCCATGGTAAAGTAACAAACTTGCAAGGTGAGTTCTAGACTACAAAAGACAAGACACCAACATTCTTCAATGGCTGAAAAAAGAACGCAGCACCAAATTTTACATCAGAAGCGAAGGAATTAGGGGAAGAACAGCTAAGAGGAGAAGAATCAATAGATCCTAGTCTTTGACAATTGAACAAAAGCTTGCAATATGTATGACTCAGGCAGTTCAATTTACATTGGAAGAAGAACAATTGGGTTCAGACAGAGGAATCCAGCATATAAATTAGAGAACCAACAAAAATGATGCAAACGATCTGAAACCATAACCGACACAATCACAAAAGACCCAGTCAGAAACACAAATATGATCAAGAACATCAATCATCAACCCAAGCTACACTAACGGATGAAAACCATGAATGATAGCATGAAAACCTTATATGTATAAAGAATCGGATTGAAACGCCAATCACACCAGAGAAATTACGAATCAAAATCAAGCAGATTCAGAGAGAGAGAGAGAGAGAGAGAGAGAGAGAGAGAGAGAGAGAGAGTGGATACCAGGCCGTGGCGTTCGCCGGCTTGGAAGGATAGCTTCTGGTGGTTCATGGCCTGAGTGTAGAGCTGTGAGAGAGAATTCGCGGCGGTGCGAAACGACGCGTAGACAGTGCGATCTACCTCGTCGAGGCTCGTAGCTATGGACTTCCTCTTCTTCCCCATCCCTAAACCTTCCTCTCTCCGACCACGCTCGAATCGGAAACCGCCAATTCCCCAGCGGCGGCGGGGGCGGATCTGCTCGTAACTGACGATCGGCGATGGATAAATTACAGATGAAAAAAGAAAAGCTCGGAAGGCTTCTCGATTTTATAAGTAAAAAAAAGGCCGACAAGGTTTTGTGATATAAACGTCATTATTATTATTAATTAATTACAAAATATGACGTTTAATTACTTGTGGGGAAGAGCGACAGAGTTTTAATTATCAGCCAAAATTATATGATACAAATCAAGATGGTTTTACATGGTAAACCGTGATAACCGATTTTTTAAAATTAAAAATTAGGACGGTGAAAAAGAAAATCAACAAGTAAACACACATATGCCTTCATGCAAAAAAAAAAAAAAAAAAAAAATTTTTTGTGTATTACCA